TATAAGCTCCACTGTTCGTGCGAATAGGGCCTGAAATGACATAAATGCTCATGCAATGAGCTAACATACAACTCCATACCAAAAAAGATTATTGCCACTTGCTTTTCAGTATATTACATATTTGTGATTATATATGTGTCATTTTTTGATGAGCAAACAACGTCAATTTTTTCCAAACATTTCTAAGGGCTAGGATTAACACTTATAACTAGATGGTTTACTGAAATATCCCCAAGTTTGAAGCAGTCATGTATGCCGTAATGTCATATCTCCTGCTTGACCAATCAGGAGTGTTTTAAGCGTCAGCGATAGGTAAAGTCTTCAGTCTGACTTAATTCTTTTTCTGAATGGCTGCAAATTAAATATCAATGGTTTACTTACTAGGGAGTTCTCTATGTCACTAACAAAGTGTAAAGGACCAAAAAAGTAAAAGAGCTTTCTTGGCTTTATCCTCCTCAGAAAAATATTTATTATGTCGAGTAATGAGAAACTTGTTTAGGAGACTATGTGAAGTTGATGACATAACGAAGGTTAATAAAACCGTTTGCTGTGGAAGGCTTTTTGTACTTTGTTTCGGCATTGCCTTAGACAAAACGAAGAAAGCCCCTGATCACGCAAATGCGTCTTTCATGCAATCAGAGCATTGCGCTTTTTCATCGAATATTTGTTTTTAACCGAAGGCTTACTGCTTTCTCCTCACTAAATACAAAACATCAAAATGAATCTCTAAAGTGTTTATGTAACGCTGACGTAGCGGTCCAGCTTGGAGAAATTTTAATTGCAAAATGTGCTGTAGTTTAGTGAACATTGAATAAGTTAAATAGATTTAAGAAGAGAACAACGTTACCTCATATTTGTAAAGTGCCCTATCTGTCCAATGCAGTGCCTTTCAACATACGGTGTAAACCTGCCTTTTCCTAGTGATTAAATGTCCATCCCAAAATAATATCTCTTTGCTATGGTTGCCTTGAGTTATTCCTTTATAATAATGACCAATGGTTTCAATTATAAGATCAAAATAGCCTAGGATATAAGAGAACATCCCTAATTAAATACTCATTCTCAAATGTAAACGCAAAAGAAAATATCCGCAAGTGAATTTAGATCTGTAACGCACACAGCATCTGAGATGTAGGAGCCCCAAATCTTACCCAAGTTCTGTGCGTTTAATATACAGCCATGAGAGCTATGTTTTAAAAGGGTCATGTTTTGGAATATGTATAAAATGACCACAGGTTTCTTTATTCAGAATGAAACAAAATGAATGCGTCCATTGTTTTCAGTGACAAAGTAAACATCTTTGTTATGATTTCACAACACAAATGTTGGTAGTTAGAAGATTTGCTTGCTTCACTGCGGACAGATGCTTGGCAACTATTCACAACATCGTGAGTCCAAAAGAGACGTTTTAGCCCATCACCGACAAAATGGACTTCTAGGGATCGCTGCATATTTGACTCTTCGGCCACGGAACAGGCAGGAAACACAGTAGACAAGCACCCACAAGAAAACTCACAAAACGAGTCACGCACATGTAGACTGCGGAAGAAGTTTCTTAAATGAACGAGAAGAAGTATCCAAGTTCACTCAATATGAACCCACTGGGAGACATAATTTTGTGCACTATTGATAGCCAAATTGAAAAGCGGCAGGGATGCAGGTAGACTGGATGAATCTGATGACGAGATCTGGGGCTCATCACTGCTACCAAGACAGCACTGACCGATGGCGCGAACGTGCCGGGCTTCCTGACGATTCGTGTTCTCCAGAATTAACACAAAGTACAGCATGATACGCCAGGAGACGGGGGCAAAACCGCTGTGGCTCATATCCTCCTCGCCGAATAGAGATGGTCGCTGGAACGGCACTCCGAAGGTGAACATACGTTCGCTGTTAACATTTACGAGCTCCTTGAGAACCAGGGACTTGCTGGCGCAGGCATCCTCAGAAGCACCTCCGTCATTAACGCTGGCATGATCAAAAAGACCCGATGGCAGATGCAAACAAAAACCCTTGCGCACACGAATACTCTTGCCATTGGAGACGAAAGAGGCACGCAGACGCAATTTCACTAAAACGAAAATGTAACAATTTCAATCTTTTTGTAGTCGGGTAAAGTTTTGGCGTAAGTTAGTGTTTATTGAAATTTTAATGGAGACGAAATTGCATTTGAAAAGGGCCTGACGGTGTACCAATTCTGGTATAGTTTAATTGCAAAACATTCTTTCGTTGCCGTGGATATTCTAACTGGCGCATACAATAGCCCAATAAATTCTTCATAAAAACGCCAACGGTACTTCTGGCTTTGTCTAAGTTTACAAACTACATACCTTATCCGGAAACAATTCATATCGTATTTACGGAGAGCCGTAGTCGATCGGTAACTTGCTGAGTAACTTTTGGATAGTTCTTTTGAATTTGGAAACCTGTAGCTTACATGCCTGACGTAATAT